AAAACCGCAGATCGCTAGCTATTGCGGTTGTCGAGTTATTGAGCTTACACCCACCCCTATTTAATTCTGGCGCCGACAATAGTTTGCAGTCTAATCCACACTCTCGTTTTATTTATTCTACAATCATAAAGTTAAAAACCAATTACTAATGATAGAACAAAATAGATAACGATATATCTACTGTTATGTAACACATTAAACACTATTTGATCAAGTTTTCTGACATATTATTAACTAATACAATGTATGCCTATGCTTATGTCAGTTTACATTTCACCAGTATGCAGAAAATATTTTAAAAACTTGTTTCACATCTTATAAAAGCTTGAGTTCGATGAGGCGTCTTCAACAGCAATATATTACATGAGAAGATAAAAGGAAATATTTGTTTTAAAGATCTTTTCAGTCTTGGTGACTAAGTGCCGTTGAAAAACTGAGAAGACGTTAAAAATGATTATGATGTATAGACCAAAATTATTATAATTACAACAAATAATGATATACGAAACTAAATTTCCTTCTCTATACATAACTGGACACCCCGTATTATGTACATAATAACTCAGCCCAGTAGTATGTCATAGCATGAAGATCAGTTCTGAATGAAGAGCAAGACAATTAAACTTTTCTTAGTGTCCTAGTGACCTCTTGTAGTAATAATACGTAAACGAACAACGTTTTGACAATTGTATTTGTTTCCTAGTAAGCATAGAATAATTCGTCTAATCATGCGAGAATAGATTTTACATTAATCAAAATATAATTATTCAAGTTTAATATCTACATTAAGTCTTACAGGATATCACTTTCAAATTATATCCCTTGGTTGAGTTGATAATTTTCTGTTCGATAGAAATCATAATGTAAAAAAGATTTATTTCATCGTTCTTTCTTTGCAAAAAGAAAAAACTCGTAAAGTACGACATACATTATTTTGTAATTAACAGTAAAAATACTGTTCGTGCTTTTCTATTGTATAGAAAATACAATTAAAGAATTGAAACAAAATATGTAACATAAGAATATTATAAATAAAAGTTGAATAGCAACAAGAATGTAAAAATTCTGTACAAATTAAGTGATGTTGTTCAAAGAATATTCTTTATTAATAATATTTATTTTCTCCACATTTTTTCATTTTGAAATACTAGAAAAAAAAAAAGATTTTAGCAAGTAGTGTATTTGTCGTTATATAACTATCGTTTATTTTGTTTTTCAATGACCAACAAAATTATTATTTCACGAGTAGTACCTGTGACACCTGTTTACTTACGTTTTCTTCCTACATAACTTATATAGAGCATTTCATTTATCACATGATTAGTGTCAATGTGACAGAGCAGTCGATATTAGTCATCTAAACGTTGCTTGTTATCATAAATCAATCTCATAGGTATATTAAATGTCTACATACATTTCGGTTTGATTGGTGTACAGCAAAGAAAAAAATATTTTTACGATATATTAATGTTTTGTCGTGTATGTCTAGGTTTTGCTTACATTTTTTTCTCGTTCGTGACATTTGCTGATGCGTTATAACTTGGAAAAATAAGACAATGACATGTTATTTGTAAAATTGATCAGCACATTTAATTAACTCGACATGATCTAATGAAAAATCATATGATAGTCAGTTCAATCGTCAGTTAGTTTTGTGTATTCAATTAAACTTCAAATAGAAATAACGAAAAAAATATAATATCATAGCATTCGATCGTTTTTTTTTCTTAATGCATGTCAAAAATATAAAGAAAAATAAATGCAGTCAATTTCATACAACACATTAAAATTTTTTCCGTTTTTTTCTCCTTTTCAATTAACGAAAGACAAACAAATGCTAAATGAAAAATAACAATCGACGTATTCTTTTCATGGTCATATCGGTTTTTTGCATTTATGAAAAAATTCTTCTAACCCCCCACCATAATAGAAGACCCCCCTGAAGAAAAAGTTCACCGAACGTAATAGAAGATCCTTCTTTAATTAATTAATTTTTTGCTAATTAGAAACTTTAATTAGTGTATCTTTCTCAAAATATGCCCGATTTTCGGGGTTTTGAGCAGAAAAAATTAAGAGAGTAAGTTCAAAATTATGTCTAGGCTCTTAAAATTTTGAAAAATCCTGATGGAAATCCTAGAAATCCCTCGGTTTTCTAGAAAACTTTTCTAATTATAATTGGGAAAAATATGGGACATAATACAAGACTCCCCTGGAAAATTTTTATGCTGAAACATAATAGAAGACCCGGGGTCTTCTATTGCGGGGGGCGGGGGTAGTAATTTACAAAATTTCTACAAAAAACCAGAACTTCATATACTTATATATTTCAGAAAGATATTTAATTTGGTTTGTTTTTCGTCCTCAGATTCTGTATGTACAAAAATTCGATAATTTCAATCGCCTCAATAATAAAGTTGACAAGCTTCCCAATCCATCGCAGAGAGGAATGTTTTCATATAACTTTTTTTAATCAGCCCTCGTTTTCTCCGATTGGTGGATGCCTGAATACATTATTTATCGACATACAATTACATATCTTGACAAGTCATGCTTTTTCGTTTTTCTATTTTTTTTAGATTGAGTCATCGATTTACGTTGGCAGAAATTACAAAATACTGTACATCGATGCATGACAGAAAAGAAAAAAAGTACAATTTTTTTAACCTCAAATTACGTTCGCTTCGTACTAGTGCAGCTGCATATAGACTATAAAGGGTATTTACATATCAAAAGACTGCAACGAGCATTCAAATCGGAAGAGAGCCTTATTCATATTGAAAATGGCAACGTCGACAGATGACACACACGTGGAAGCTGAGGAAGATGATACATTTGAATATGCTCATGGGACTGTGATGATTCTTGCATGGATGGTCTTTGCATCAACGGCTGTTCTATTTGCGCGTTATGGTCGTAAGATACGTTTTGGTTCGAAGGACAAGTTATTAGGTGAACACATTTGGTTTCAAATCCATCGTTTCGTGGCTTGTTTGACAACAGTATTGACACTACTTGGATTTTTCTTTATTTTGGTACAAGCAAAAGGCGACTGGGTAAAAGCCGATGAAGGTCTTGTATTTGTTCATTCTGTTATTGGTGGTATTGTTGTCTGCTGTGCACTTATACAAGCATGGATGGCACTTTTTCGTTGTCATCCAGACGGTTCATACCGTTTCATTTATAATTGGCTTCATCGATTAACTGGAGTATTGGCTTATTTTCTTTCGGTACCAACTATTTTTATTATTATTACAACTTTTGATAACAATCGAACAGGCATGATCGTTATTCTTTCACTCTGGTCTGCCTGGGTCGTTATAATTGTCATTATTTTAGAAATCATTCGACTTGGTATTGGACCATCATTTTCAGGCAAAATGGTGAAGGGCAATGGAGCTGAACTATATGATCTTAATGGACCACCGAGTGTCAATACCGAAAGTGATGAGGGTGATACATCACATTGGCATGCACGGATATTAATTTTGATTCTATTAAATTTTATTGTCTCCATTGCTCTAGCTATTCCACTAATTGTTCTTCTTTGGAAAAAGACTTAGCTTTTGTTTTTTTTGCTTCAAAGTTATAGAATATTAAAGAGAGAGAGAAACGAATTTTTTCCAGTTTTCTATCGATACTGCAGTCTGCTATAATTTGATTGGATGTGAATCCATTTGTAATTATTTTGGTTTTTTTCATTTTACACTCATTAATATAAAAAAAAATAATATATATTGACAAAAGTCGAATCAATATTTTACTTCATAGAAAATAAATTTTATTTTTCCTACAAATTTTTAATTTATAATGATAATTTACACTAAAAAATGTTCAAGAAAAATATATTCTCATGCTTTTCTTTGCAACTTGAATAAGCTACAAAGCATATGGCAAGTCTGAAGAAGAACGCTAATTAGAAGAGTTCCAAGTAACTGTAATGAAACGTGCTTGTTAAATACTGTTTATATCGAATTTAATTAAAAAATGCATTTCATATTCATACTTAGAGTTGTCCATCAACGATGAAAACATCAGTAGGAGCATTTTCCGGCATTCGAAAAACTGTGTTCTAACAAGATCAGTTCATCAGACATTGATTTCATTTAGACAGAGATCAACAAAATGTAGAATCAATTCCTAATACATCATTATCGTCTATAGGTTTTCGTTTTCTATCAATGAACTAATTAGTGATGTAGTAATAGCAAGGAAGGATCCATGGTATGGAGATGGCTGCCACCTTTTTTTTTCTGCCTCAACAACATGCAATATGTCTAGTAGCTGTTAGAAAAAGAGAACCGCATAAAAGGAGCAAATTTTTTTTTCTGTTGGCAGTACATGCGCGTAAATATTATTTCAATGTATGTAGACCAGTGAGCATTTGTGCAAAATAAATATTTGTGCTCTGATCAAGGCATGAGAATTATATTTACAGAAAAAGAAAAAGACTTATAAGTTACATGAATGCGGCAGGATATATGGCATGATCGCGATATTGTTTTTTACTGTAGCTACGCGTTCGTTTCATCTTACGTACGGGGTCAAAAAAACTCTAAATATATTGCATTGAAAGAAATTTCATTCCTTATTGCATTATTTACATATGTGCTTCTTACTTAGCCTTGTTTGCACAATGGAAAAAGCTTTTACAGTCTACGACGAGTAACACTCGATAAACATTAATAGAATGAAGCACTGACTTCATTCGTTCTATAGAAGAAAATTTGCGAGCAAAAAAACTGTGACTAAACAATGATTTTCGTTTGGTTATTATGACATAGTTAATCAATATTTTTTCATATGAAATAAAATATAATGATTTATAGAAAATTCTTTAAAAAATTTATTAACAAGAAAACTAAATATTCATTTGAAAAATTTTTACAAGTAAAATCTATTCGAATGAATTATTCAGTAATGTCGTTTATATGCAGTGTTTTTGTCTAATGTGGGGACTAAGGGAACGGCATCCTCCAAATATTGGGTTGATCATCCCGTAGTTTGCGCTTTTTATATCACGTACTATGTGTGTCTGTGCTCCTACAAATAGCTTCTTGCCTTTGAAAAATTTCAAACCACTTCTGTGAAAGAGAAAATCTGAATGCAACACTGTTTATGTCAAAATCACCGTTTACAGACTTTTATTTTCCGTTGATGAATTATCATACATCATGAATGAAATAATCTTTTTGAAACCAGAAAAGATCTACAAATAGATTAACTATTATAGGCATTTGTCGTCATTAAGAAAGTTAAATTAAAGACATTCATATGTTTTGAAGATGGATAATGGTCTTTTCTTCTCCAGCTACCACACTCACATCAACAGCCAACTTGATAAATTCTGGCGTGAGTGTATTACCAAAAAGAATTCTTCGTTTAACTTATGCTACAATCATAATAAATTTTTTCTAGCTGCTGTAGATTCTTCGCTAAATTTTCACAAGTTATCCAACAATTCACATTTTTGTTTTTGTATTATTTCTTTTCGTTAATGAAGAAAAAATCGTAATGCACTCACGCAACCATCATTTTAGCATATGATGTATTTTGGAATTTATGATTGATAATATTCAGACTTTAGCCAGCACAAGACTTTCAATATGATTAATATTACATTAATAATGATTGGATAACTTTTCTAGTTGCATAAAAGTACGAAATATTGAAGTAAAAAATGACTATAGCCGTATTATTCCAAGCCAGTGCTCCTTCATGAGGGGCCAATGTGTAGAACTCACAAACTTTAACTATTATAAAATTTATGGCATATTGTCAGCGATGTTTAAATAGATGATTTTTAATAAATGCCATATAAATGAATAAATCAAAATTATAACAATTTTTATAGTTGATATATGTGTTCTGCAATTTTATCATTTCAAAAATGTGTGCATTTAGAATTACTATGCCACCAATTTATTAGATTCATTTAATATTGCTATATTGAAAAAGCTTCTTTGTATTTTCAAATATATCCATCCTATTCTGACTCTGCAAAATCAATAATTCCCCTATCCTACTAACAATGAGATGCTTTCGACGTCTTAAATGTTAAAACCCACCATATATATACACTAGTTAGAATCTACAGTAGAAATCTTATATTTATAGAATGTTTTGGAAGATCCTAGAATGTTCCAGAATGATCTAACTACTGCTATTATTAAAAGACCTTGTCCCATTGTTAGAGTCTGAGAAGAGTCAAAAAAATCCTCGATTTAAACTTACATTCCCTATTTTTTCGAAGAAAATATATTTGAGTTCCAATAAACGAGTAAATCATTCGAATCGTTGGTTTCGATGAAAAAATTGACAACATGGAATATTTTCAGATGTCCGAAATTATCAAGACATGATAAAGTTATTTCAAGCAAATTTTCAAATACTAATAATAAATATATTATGCTATTTCGTTATAATTTTCGGAAGATACTGAGAAATTATTCAAAACTGTGATAATTTTGTAAATGCGCTTCTATGTTTCTATAAACTTCATTTATCTATATGAATGCTAGAGATATCGGGTGTCCCAGGAATAATGAGCCTCCCAGTATTTTTAAGATTTCCTGTCTATTATCACTGTAAGTAAAGCTGTCTTAATTATCAAAAGAAAGCGCTTAAAATTCTCTACAAAACCATATGTGACTAGGCTCAAAAACAGTTTTAGATATATTTGAAAAAAGACGAAAGCTAAAGACATACAGACGGCTGTAAAATGTAAATATGTCATCAAGAANGTTTTGTAGAGAATTTTAAGCGCTTTCTTTTGATAATTAAGACAGCTTTACTTACAGTGATAATAGACAGGAAATCTTAAAAATACTGGGAGGCTCATTATTCCTGGGACACCCGATAGTTTCGTAACTACTGAAATTACCAAAAATTCCTGTAACTTCCTGCAAATACGTTTCTATATTAATTTATAGACTAATAATTACATTTATCCATATTGATGTTAAAGTTTTAGACATTTCTGTAATTTTCTTAGAATTTCTTTTAAATCCGTAATTAACGATGTTTTCTAGAAACTAATTGTTTATCTCTTAGTAATTTCAGAAATATTCTTTCTTGGAAATCTGAATATTGCTGCTTTTTTTTGACAATATCATAACTTATTATAAATTCAAGCGAATAAAGCATTGGCATTGTTTGAAAATTCGAAGTTCATTATCGTGTAAATATATGTGTATAGCAAGCCTTAAAAATGGTCGTCCGGTCTAGCCCAGAGAGATAATTCTTCCAGATCATAAAGAAAAACAAACCTAATTTTAATCGTTGTTTTTCCAATTAAAACTCAATTCAAATGGTACTTGTTGAATTCAATAAAAGACCTATTTTTTGTCTTTACTTGAGTCTTACGCCCCGCAACTGATAACAATTAGGAATCCTTATTATGCGAATGTTTGAAAAATTTCATTCAGTCAATAAATAAAAACAGAGCATCTATTTCGTTCGATGACGTCCCTCATTCATACCTAAAGCTGAATGCACTATGAAATGCATTAAATGGCATGTGTGTTACTGAAGTGAAATTGTATACTGAAATTAACAATGTTAACTAAATATTAGTAATTGATGTGACACTTCGAAATTGATCAGCAGGCATTTTACTTGTGAAAGCTTTTCTTTTTTAATAAACGATAATCTTCAAGAAATTGAAGTATCCACAAATGCATCTTGTTCTTTCGGTTTGATAAGTAATTCAACTTATTCTCTTATTTTATTTTTTCAAACATTAAAACTGTCCGACCTTATTCAAGTCGTAATCATTATGATAATAAACCTTTTGATAATGTTCTAATAAATAATTGTAGTGATTGCAAAGTTTCATCGTGTAGAAATCCTTTTTGTAAAAAAAATATAGTTTTTTTCTATAATGTCCATCTGAGATAGAGTTCATCTCGAGTTCGGGTCGTAAGTTGTATCTGACGGGCTCTAGTCACCGAATACAAAAAAAACGGAAAAAAAGCATGTTGTGTCTGCAGGAAGAATATCCGGTTCCGATTAGAAAATTTCTTTGCGAATATCAAAGTACGGTTTAGTTGGATCCGATGGACTTTAGTCTGAGCTTAATAAGACTGAGTCATAAAAAAAAGTAGTTTGATTTCGATGTGTGGCACATAATAAAGAAAGAATCTGAATAAAATCTTACATTAATATCTAGCATTCTATTGTACAATTTAATAGTTTATTAGTTACATTTCCTTAGTTTATCGTACATTTCAGAATTGTAGAAAACTACGGTATTCATAGCATATTTGCTTGGACTTGAATTGTTATTTCTACAAAGTTAGACTATGTTTTTTCTTATACTTTGCATATGTTTAGACAGAAAACATTTTTGCTCAATTTGAATCGATGATAACTTTAGTTATGCTCATCAAGATCTACCATATTAGATTTGTAATAAATTCTGCAAAACTGGATCGATTCAAGTAATTGAAACGATTAGTTTTCATCGGCTTTTCCAGATTGCAAAAGAAAAAACAATGTTCATTAATGAAATCAGCCGACGGCAGGCTTTACTATTTTTATTAAAGTAATAAAATAATATTAT